ACAAAGACAATATAGGCGTTTTCATAATGAAAAAAATTAAGATCTCCGCCAATATTGATCCAAACACCGCCAAATTTTACAGGAAAAATTCTACGAATCTTCTCAAGTGGTATGTGAAATTTGAGCACACATTATTATGTAGGTTCTCGAAATCTGGGGTTAAAGGAAGAAATTTCTTGCATTTTCATCAAAACTTTTCGTATCTACAGACAATTATGAAAAAATTTCATCATTTCGTCAATTTCGAAGTTAGAGGTCTGAAATTTTAACCACATATAGTTGAACATCTTACCTACTAATCTTATTAATGATAGTTTACATGGTTCATTTCTGTAATGACCCCGGAATTAGATTTTTCTACACGGAAAAACTTGCGAAAACGTATAGGTCTTCTTTTTACAAAAATCGGAATATCTCTATGAGTTTTCAACCTTTTTATGTAAAAATTTAGATTCAAATAGTCTGATATCATATCTACAAGTTTAATCAGAAGCATTTTGATGGTTAGTTAGACGGAATTTTGAGATAATAATCGCCGGAAGTAGACTATTGTTCAAAAAAACGTATGTAAAGAAGATTGGTCTAAGAATTTTTTTACAATATTTATAACTAACCAATCATGTGATCATTCCAAATTCGTAAAATACGAATTAAGAAGTTCATTGTACTTCCAAATCCGTATTTTACGAATTAAGAAGTTCATTGTACTTCCAAATTCGTAAAATACGAATTTAGAAGTAGCAAAAGAGTGATTGTCTTAATAAAATTTCGAGTTAGAGTTAGCATCATTTTTAATTGTCATGATTTTTTTTTAACAACAAAAGGGAATTAATAACCTTTTTGTTTTCCAAACCGAAGCAAAAAAATTACTAGTTACCTTTTTGTTTTCCAAACCGAAGCAAAAAAATTACTATTGGGTAAATATTTACCCAAACCGAAGCAAAAAAAATTTCAAACCGAAGCAAAAAAATTACTATGATTTAATTAGTAATTTTCAAACCGAAGCAAATTTACATATGCAGGCAGGCACGTATATACAAAAAACTTTTTTTTTTGGGTCACATGACTTTTTATCATGTGATAAGATAGATATAATTTTTTTTATTATAACATATATAATTAATAATATGAGTACTGGGGTAATACTATAATAAAAAAAATTAGTACTTCCTATCGATATAGTGTTACAAAAGTCTAGATTCTTAAGACAAAAGTTATGTATCTCATTTAATTACTATCACAAGCCAGTGACCCAGGACCTGCACTTCTGCCATATTTTGTCATTGACTTCTATATAGGTTGTGCGACATATTACTCCCTGGCCATCTTTATTTTTATACTACCAGATCATTTGCTTCCATGCTTTTCGGGATTTCTTTTAGCTAGTTTTTCTTGTTTCTTTGCACCAGAGATGTTCTATATTTGGTAAAGTCATCCTCTTACCACAGCTCCTTATTATGTTCATCATTTTTCTCACTACTTCTGGACATACTGCATAAAGCTGTTTTCCCAATCAAGATCCCAATGCTGCCTTAGGGTTGTTGGTGCTACCTTGCTAATCGTGAATTCACATGCACAGCCTTCTGCAATAAACCTTTCGTGACCCATGTCACACACAGTGCCTAGTCTTCTTCATGGCTTGGGGGCTCCTTCTAAGAATTCTTTATAGACCAAATATGTATATTATATGGTTTTACTACTACAAGGTTCTGTATTTGAAAGCTCCTAAAGGTTACAGAGATAATTAATTAATTGATGATTCGCTACTCAATGGGTGTATAATCATAGTGTAACGTAATGCAGATCACTATGTAAATCTAATATAGAGTGAATATAGAAAATTTCTAATATTCATTTAAGGAAAACTTTTTTCATACTAAGTTAATTGACAAAGTTGATTAATTGAAAGTTGTAGAGCTTGTCTTTGCAGTTCTAATAGTGGTTAAATCATCCAAATCGGCCTAGTGGATACCGAGATATCTTTAAAAAATACATCAACGATTATGTAAAATCTCGATATAAATAATATATTATTTACATAGTAATTTTATATAGTCATTGACATGTTTTTTAAAGATATCTCGGCATCCACTAGGCCGATTTGGATAGTATGGTGGACATTCGATTTGATTGGCTCAAAGATCTCTAAGTTACACAATATAAATAAAAATTTTTAAAGTAATTCTTACTATAAAAAGCCATATCATCAATTGACAATTCGTGGTTTTACAGAATAATTTTTTTTTAAACTTCTTTAAGTCTTTTTTACCTCTTCGTATATCTTTAGTGAAAAAAGATCAGTATAAATTATTATTACTAAAGACTTTACTTAGAGAGCAAATTTAGACAAATTTAGATAAGTAATATAAGTAAATTCGCCAATTTTTAGAAAAAGCAATGCCGCCAATCAGTTAATTTGTAAGAACTAACTAACCCGGATTTTTTTTTCTGACAAAGGGAAAAGCTTTGGTTACTTTGAGATGGAGGAAGAATTAATAAAACTGGGTAAAATAGACATAGCTGCCTAAATTATTTTTGAAAATTGTATTTTTGGCAAATATTTTGGTATTGTCAAATTTTTTATAAAACTCTTCAAAAAATTTCAGCAATATAAAAGTTAATTTTGGATTTGAATTTTTTAGCCGACAATAGATAAGTCTTTTTATCTTTGCTAGTATTTGAGGTTAACTCATTCTTTACTTCAAGTATTAAAAGCTTGTTTTCTGATAATTGAGCAATTTAAACTAACTCAACTTTAATTACATTAGACCAAACCACAAACAATTGTGATTTATAAATAACCAAGAACCCAAAAGATAGTAACTACAGGATTGTTATGGAGTATGCAAAGTAGAGAAGTTTTGAAAATTATTAGTAAGTAAATATGGTGAATTAAATTGGGCCTCTGAAGTTATATTATATAGCTAGAGAGCTTAATACAATTCATAAAGCCGATTTAGTATACAAAGATTTTCTTTTCAGCAATGTAATTAATCAAAATATGTTTAGTTCTTTCATTACTGATTTTGGTTTATGTAGTTCAGTATTACAAGATTCAAATTCTAAAGAACTTTTTGGTATACTTTTCTATATTGCTCCAGAAGTACTACTATATATAACCGGAAAGGAATACACTCAAAAATTAGATATTTATTTTTTCAGAGTAATTATATCCGAAGTTTTTACTAGATATCCGATATTCCACATGATTTTGGCCTTGCATTAAAGATTTGTATTTGATGGATCAATTTATCGTACTTCAGATCACTCCAATATATACAGTTGTTTCCATTCATCAGCAAAATAAATAACCATAATTTTACGTAAGTTATTATGCCCCGAAAACTTACATAAGAATTATGGATCGATGTGGCATATTTCGCAATTTTTAATTATAAAATATTATGGAATTTATTTCGAAATATTGCAAAATATATTTCGAAATATTGTGAAAACTATTGTAAAGTATGATGCAAAATTTTTCAAAATATTATGTGTGGAATTACAATTTTATTAAAAATATTTTTTTAAAATAACACTTATATATGTATATTTATTTATTAAAATATTGTTTTATTACATATTTATTACAACATAATTACTAAAAACTAAAAGCCGGCACTAGATTTAATTGTTTTTACATTCAAAATCTCAAGCCTAATTCCAATACACCATTTCGCTATTTCTGGCAAAGAAACCTCCAAAAAGAAAAAAACCACCCAAAAAAAGACTGGTACTTATTTTTTACCAGTTTTCGATACTAGGGACTCAAATCTCAAGTCCGGTTCCAATGCACCTTTCCAACAAAAGCCTGAAAAGAAGAAAAACGTTAGTAAAAAAAATGAAAAACAAAACAAGAAAACAAAGAAATGCATGTTTATCTTTGTATTTAGGATCTTAAGCCTAATTCCAAAATCTCAAGCCCGGTTTCAATAACCTTTCTCGGTGAAGCAAAACCTTGGAAAGAAGAAAACCATTAGTAAAAACAAAAATCAAAAATCAAAAAAAAAATTAATACTTATAATTATACTAGCTTCTGGCTTCAAGATCTCAAGCTTGATTCCAAAATCCAAGTTTGGTTCCAATGCGTCTTTCCAGCAAAGCAAATCTTAAAAAAGAAGAAAAAAAGACTAGTATATATCTTTTTATCAGTTTCTAGTTCGAGAATCTCAAGCCCAATTCCAAGATCTCAAGCCTAGTTTCAATAACGTTTCCTGTCAAAGCAAAAATCTAAAAAGACAAACTGGTACTTATCTTTGTATTAGCTTCCGGCTCCAAGATCTCAAACTTGATTCCAAGATCTCAAGTCCAGTTCCAATGCACCTTCCCGGTAAAGCAAAAAAAAGAAAAACGTTAAAAAAGACATACTTATTTCCAGTTTTAGAATTTCAAGACCGATTCCAAGATCTCAAGCCTGGTTTCAAGATCTTTTAATAACCTTTTCTGGCAAAGCAAAATCTGAAAAAAAAGAAAACCATTAGTAAAAACTAAAGGCAAACAAGAAATCAAAAAAAAAATTGGTACTTATTATTGTACTAGCTTCTGGCTCCAAAACCTAAGCCTGATTCCAAATCCAAAAGCTCAAACATGGTTTCAATGCACCATTCTGGCAAAGCAAAAGCCAGAAAAGAAGAAAAATAGAAAACAAAGAGACTAATACTTATCTTTGTACCAGTTTCTGGTTCAAGAATTTCAAGCCTAATTCCAAGATCTCAAGCCTGGTTTCAATAATGGTTTGGCGAAGCAAAGACCTAAAAAGAAGAAAACTATTAATAAAAACAAAAGACAAACCAAAAAAATACAAAAAAAAGCTGGTATTTATATTTGTACCAGCCTCCAGATTCAAGATCTCAAACTTGATATCTCAAACTCAGTTTCAATATTCCTGGCGAAGCAAAAATCTGGAAAGAAAGAAAAAAACCATTAGTAAAAACAAGAAAGCAGTCTAAGAACAAGTCTGGTAAAGCAAAAACCTGAAAAAGAAGAAAAAAACTTCAAAAGCAAAAAGTAATTGGCAGTTTCTGGTTTCTAGATCGGTGAAGCAAAAAAAAAACAATAATCTAGATTGGTAGTACTAGAGAGATTCAAAGTAAGTAGGTGTTCTTGTAAAGTGCTATAAAATAAATAAATAAAATAAAGTTAAAGAAATAAAAAAATAAACAAGATCTAATCTTATATGTGCTATATGTGATACAGTATATAATCAAAAACTTACTTTCGCATGGTTTCGAAATTATGCTTTATTTTGCGAAATCGCAAAAAAATAAAAGTTGATAAGCTTTGAAAAGTCGCAAAAATAAAAGTACTTTAATGAGAAAAAAATAAACAAACAAAAATAGCTTGATCGCTAATCTTTAATTATAATTGGGTAATAGCAATCTAATAAACCAAGTATTTATACAGTTGCGAATTAATGCGATTTATTTTACAATCCGTAAAATTGATGCAATATTACGCTATCTATTTTGAAATATTGCGAAATATCTTACATAATATTTTGTAATATACTACGTAATATTTTGTAATTTAATATTTTGCAAGGTTTCGAAATATCTTGCATTATATTACGCCTTTTTTACGGGTTGTAATTTATTGCGTAATATTACGCACTATTAAATTTGCTGATATAGCAACTTTGTTTCTATACCTCTTCCATCTTTTAATAAAGAATATGCTATTGCTAGCACTCTTAATTAAATACAAGCTAATAATATTCCTCTTATGTGGCTGAATATAAATGGAAGTTCTATTAATAAATTCCAAACACCCGGATATATTACACGTGCTTTTCTTACTTTGTATCTAACTGGAAATACAGATCTTCGATTACAACATATTATAGAAATTAAGCTGGCCAAATATTTTGCACATTTGCTAAAATACAAGGATGGCCAATTTGCTCACCATACTCGGTGACGATATTTTGCACTAAATTTATAGATGAGGTGGAGAGCCCTACAAGAAGAAAAAATATATGTTAAGCAAAGTTTAAATGAAGAACAGCTTACTGTTGAAGAAATTTAAGAAATGTTTAATAATAATAGTCATATAGCAGATAAAATTATACAATTTGGTAAGTGCTTGCGTAAAACTCATCAATTTTGGAACAAAAGATAGATAGAACTCACAGATATGATTAAGCAATTGGGATCTTATAGGATAGTTTTTTTTACTTTTAGTGCTACTGATTTGCATTGGCTAGAACTTTATGAACTTATGCCACATAATGAGAACCTAGCGACAAAACAAGAGGCAAACAAGCAAAGATGCCAAAATCTAATCGACAATCCACATATTGCTGCATGATTTTTTGAAAAATGCTTTAAACTATTTTTAGAAGAAGTATTGATTCCTAAATAGAACCTTGAAGACTAGTAGTATAGGTTTGAGTGGCAACATCGTAGTAGTACTCATGTACATAGCATTGGAAAAATAAAAGATGCTCCAATTATTGAATAAGAAAAAATGAAAGAGAATAAAGAGTTGATATGTAATATAGTACAATATTTAGATTTATTGATCACTACAATTAACTCTGAACTTGATGCTCCCACACCTGATTGCTATCCTTGTCAAAAACCTCATAATAAAATACATGATAACTTGCTAGATTATATGGAATTAGTTAACAAGCTACAACAATATACGTGTTGCAGTCCTTCATATTGTCTTCAAGTAAACAAAAAAGGCCAACAACATTGCAGGTTTAGATATCTTAATTGGTGATTCACCAGTCAACCAGAGAATAATCATAGTAAAATGTGACTCAAATTACTTATAAAAATTGGGGGTCTCCAAATGTGGCATGCGTGCATCTAAAACTTTTTTTATACTAAGTTAATCACTTTTATAATTTAAGAGACTTTTGTAAAGCTTGTCAAAACGTATCTAATGGTGGTTAGAGCGTTAAAATCGGCTTGGTGGGTGCCAAGATATCTTTAAAAAACATTTCCTTTACTATATAAACTTCTTTGCAAACAATACTATTGTTTGCAAAAAAGTTTACATAGTAAAAAAAATGTTTTTTAAAGATATCTTAGCATCCACCAAGCCGATTTTGATGCTCTAACCACCATTAGATGCGTCTTGACAAGCTTTACAAAAGTCTCTTAAGTTATAAAAGTGATTAACTTAGTATAAAAAAAGTTTTAGATATATACATGCCACATTTGAAGACTTCCAATTTTTATAAGTAATTTAAGTCACATTTTACTATAATCATTCTCTGGTTGACTGGTGGATTATCAATTAAGATATTAATACATCAAAAATAATACTTTTAGAGCGAAATTTCCATCTTACTGATTATCAATTTTTTTTTTTTTATTAAAAAAAAAAAGCTGCGAAGCGAAACTTTAAGTATTTAAGATCTACCTCTAATCACAAACATAGCAAAACTTACATCTCAAGATTACTACTAACTAGCCGCTTTAATGTAAGTACAGCTTGACAATATATATATATATTTATTGTATATGCTATAAAATCAAAGAATTTGATTTACAAATTATTATTTTACCATTCTGCTTAAAATTATTTTATTTATTTAGATTATATAAAGAAGGCTTAAAATTTGTTTGTATTTATTTAATAGAATTTACAAAAAGAAAGGTTTTAATATGTTTTTAATTTTTTACAGACTGCATTAGAAAAGCAAACCTTAAAAAAATTGATCCAGTGTACATTGAATCTGGTTTTCATTTTGTTCTCTTCGAATTTCTTCATGGATTTGAGATTGTATTTTACAAAGAGACTTTAATGTTGCTTCACTATCGTCAATTATCTCAGTAACAATTTTTAATGCATCACGCAAAACAGCTAACTTTTCTTTTGCAGTTAGAGTTAGTTCTATGATCTCTACTTCTTCTTCTTTCTCTTCCTCGTGTTCTATATCTGTGGCACCTTGAACAAAGTCTTCATCAGTAAACTGCTAGTGTACTTCATGTTTACCCTTAGGATTCAACCAGTTTTCAACTAATATTGGAGTATGAATACGTAGTGCATTAATTTGCTATTGAAGTTCTTCAAATAGTTCTTCTGCTTCGGCTAGATTTTCTTCTACAATTTTGGAATTATTAGTAACAGGAGAAACAGAAATAAGTAATCCAGCTTCATCACACAGTATTACTATTTTTGTGTAAGCCCAACAATTCTTAATTGTTTCAGAAGATACTTCATTCCAAGCAATTTTTGCCCATCTCATGCCTTGCAACTGATCAACCTTATAAATATTTCTTTTACTAGCTTCATCCAAATTAATTGCATGTTGAAGTTGTAGGTGATAATAATGGAGCTTAAATGAAGCAATAATGCTAACATTCATAGGTTGGATTTTCGATATGGTTTTGAATAGTAAAAAAAGAACTTCCATGTTAGAAAAAGAAAGAGAGCCAACAACATGTGTAGAGGCCTTGTCAAGAATAAGAAGAATATGGTAGTTTGATTCTCTCATCATATTATTTAATTTTTTCATCCACTCCTGAAAAAACATAGCAGTCATTCATGCCTTTAAATTATTATGGTAATAGAATCCAAGTTGTTCTTCAGTTTTTTTTTAAAACACCTAGATTAACTATGCCTCTCAGCATACTTCTTTAGAAGATTTTTTTACAACAAAAAAAAAATACAAAAAGCAAAAAAAAAAAACACCTAGGTTTTTTCACATGCCCAATAAAAAAAGGTTGAAGCTTGTGGGTACCATCGGCATTAGCTATATGTGCAATTGTGATTCTTATTTTGTCTTTCTCAGATCTTTCAATTTGATGAGATGCAATCGTACAGTTAGAGGCCATAGAGTAAAAAAAGCCTGTTTCATCCATGTTATAGATATCATGTAAGAGGTATCGATCAGTAGTGTTAATAATCGTTAGAAGACTTGAGTTAATAGCATCAACATCTGCAGAACCACTTTCGCCATGTAATTTAAATTTTTGAAAATTATATCTTTCCTGAAAGGAATACAACCAGCCATTCAAAATTCAGGTTTGTTGTTTTCAGGGATATTTAACATATCTGCAAACTTTTTATCTTTGGCTTTAATTATATCACTACTTAGACGTATGTCTCGGTGTTCACATTGTAATACCCAATTTGCCAGGGCAGTATCCAATTCAGTGAACATAATAACACGGCGCTTTTTAATTCCGAGATCATTTGTTGATATTTTTTTAAATTCTTCTTTTTTTTTTAGGATGTCTGATATTGTGCTTTGAGCTGGGGCCTTTGTAAGATTGAATTCTTTTTTTGCCCATTCGGCAAGTTCTTTTTGGGGCATCGACGAATTCATTTAGCAGTGCTCACATATTGTCTTTCTTTGTTTATTATGCAAATTGCCCATGTTTTTTGATACAGAAAAAAATATAAAATTCGGGCGAATTTACAAAAAAAAAAAAAGCAAGGTAAATTAAACTTTTATACTGATTTTAAAATGAGTA